ATGGGGAAGAAGTCTCATCATGACGTGTAAAGTTTATCTTGCCTGGCTGGGCAGCTCTCTGGGTGCTCAGCACCCCCAAAGCTCTGATCCTATCGCCCCTGGTTTTAATCTTTTAACTTTATGCACATTGCATCAAGCAAAAAATAAAATACATGCAACAGTCTTTGACTTGAAGAAATTTGTTGAACATTTCAACCTATTTTCTGCATTTTCCAGCATATAAAATAAAATGATGTTTTGTGTTTACACTCACTCTTTTTAATAAAGGCAAGTCAAACACAGCAAACAATAAATAAAATCAAACATTCAGCGCCAGTAAGTCCTGTCTCTCTTAAATCTACTGTCACCTGTTTAGCAGGAGTGGGGCCAGTGGAGGTTTGCCCAGTGCTGCAGCGGTCATGTCAGTGGGGGGATCCGGGGAGTTTCTCTGTGAAGTTCACATTCCTTTGGCAGCGTGCTAGGTGCTTGCTCAGATTTTAAGTTTAATTTTTCGCTGTAGAAAGAAGTTTTCTTCCCATGCAGGGTGTACAGTGGACACTGATGTTTTTCTCACTTTTTAAGGAATCAAACTCAAAGGAATGTCAGTACGTGCACGCTTTAAATGCTGCATGGTCGTACTCTCTCCCGCACTCCATATTATCCATTGTTAATCTGCACGTCTGTTGCTGCCACAGACTTTGCACGCTCCTACGTCATTGTGATGAGACAGTCTCACAAACAAAATTACAGTTTTGAAACGCAGTAATGCAGTGTGCTTACGGGAAAGTAACAGTAATCTAATTACTTTTTTGCAGTAGTAATCCCTTACTTTACTCATTACTGAAAAAAAGTAATCGAATTAGCATTGCTGCCCATCTCTAATTAGTACAAACTTAAAATCCTGCAGACTGTCTGCAGCAGAGTTTATTCTTACTTGTGATGTTTTACTTCCATGAAATCAGCCTTTTAAATTCATAATAAATACAAACACCAAACATAAAAAGAAAAAGCAGCGAAATGTGTGCTTTATGCCATTCTGGAGCTTCTTTCACTGCATTTGGACTTGATTGGACTTTCAACAAGTGTCCAAGGCGACTATGGCAGTTAGCCATCATGAACAAAACAAGGAAATTACTACCATTGTTAAATCAATGTACACGTGTCCTTTTCCTGATAAGACACACTGAAAACTGACATAAGGGTGAAATTTTTGTTTCCATTATTGTTAATAGAAATATTATGCAGGAATTGGGTAACTATGTATTTAAAATATCTTTAGAAAATTATTTAAGGTTTTACCAAAACTGTGACCTAATTAACAGCTGATCTAAAGATAATAGGGTGCAACGGATGTTCATACTTATTCTAAACGTTAAAATAAATGATGCAGATACCTGAAGCCAAGAAATTTTAGTTTTTAAATTTTAATTATTATCTATTAAAACATCTAAATGCTTTAAAATATATATATCTTCTTCATCACACTATGTTTAAACACTTCACCACTAGCAACAAAGAAATATCTGATGTAAATATCAGCCAACAAAGCCGATATTGGTACCGACATCAATATCAAATTTAATTTTAAACAGTTAAGAGGAGGTTAAGGTTGCCACAGACCAGAACACAAACATCCACTCAAGAAGTCGTTCAATTAGCTTACTGTAGTGAATCGACTTTTGCAACACCTGTGAGGTGATGTGCTCTGAAGGTCAGTTTAAATCAAAGAATTGCAACTTCATGCATTTATGTTTTTTTAAGGAGACAAACTTTATGGCAGTGCTTGAGGTAAATGCCTGAATGTGTAAAAAAAAAAGTCATTTCATTTCTAGAATACATTAAAATAAACAAGCGAGAAATGAAATAATCTCAAAACTGACATCTTTTAATGCAATCTAGAACGTTAAAAAAAGAAAACAATGTGTGCACTGATGACTCCGT